GAAATTTCCTTGCTACTAAATATTCCACGGTCTTCTGTTAGTGGTATTATAACAAAGTGGAAGCAACTGGGAACAACAGCAACTCAGCCACGAAGTGGTAGGCCACGTAAAATGACAGAGCGGGGTCACCCCATGCTAAACTGCTGAAGCGCACAGTGCGCAGAAGTCACCAACGGTCTGCAGAGTCAATAGCTACAGACCTCCAAACTTTGTGTGGCCTTCAGATTGGCACAGCAACATTTGGGATGAATTAGAGCAGAGACTGGGAGCCAGACCTTCCCATCCAACATCAGTACCTGACCTCACAAATGCGCTTCTGGAAGAATGGTCAAACATTCCCATAGACACACTCCTAAACCTTGTGGACGCCTTCCCAGAAGAGTTGAAGCTGTTATAGCTGCAAAGGGTGGGCCAGCTCAATATTGAACCCTACAGACTAAGACTGGGATGCCATTAAAGGTCATGTGTGTGTAAAGGCAGGCGTCCCAATATCTTCAATGGCATTTAACATTATGTAAACTATTAATAAACCTTCCCAGCATCACAAAATGGGAAAAAATGGCATACTGTATATCATTTCAGATACATCAGGAGGAACATTACATTGTAAAAGACCATTATTTTCACCAACAATCTTCCTATCAAATTATATGCTGTGGTTTACTTGTCAAAACCTCCCTTGTGTACTCATCCGAAAGCCCTGAGACTGTTGCTGGTCAAAACCATCTTTCATTTGATGTTAGCAGCCTCAGCAGACTGAGAGCTGTCCTTTAAGGGACTCTATATGGAATTTTCCTTTGCTCTTCCCCTGGCTGCTACATAAAAGGTTATAGAGGGAGGGAAGGAAGGGGAGCTGGGCCAGCACAGAGAGTAATTAGGCTCTTCCAGAAGAGGAGAGAGCTATGACGTGCATTCAAGGAGGGAGGGGGCTGTCTAAGACTTGATTCTCTTAGGCTGTATTCAAACGGGGCACTCTGCAATTCCTGTCACAAGAACCTAGGTATATTAGCAGCGGGAATGTCAAGTGTCACCATTTAAATTTGGCCGTTGTATCCATTTAAGTAAATGATAGGGGACAGTGGGCGCATCTCTCAGTGGCAGTCCACATGTAAAGGGATAGATGATTGCCCCTGGGTGCATCTATCCCAAACCGCAGACCACCACTGACTGATGTGGCCACTGTCACCCGGTCACTAACTTCAATGCATCTGAAATGGGACACCTGGGATTCCTGCCGCATGATGGAGAGGATACACTGTAGAGTAGTCACAATTTCTGGAAAGTCCAAAGACACACTGCAAGTGAATAAAATCATTTATGGAAAGGAAAAACAAGGCAAATAAATACTGTACCTGATGCTTTCTGTGCTTCTACCTGCAACATTGTTTCATACACCTATGATACATCATCAGATCTAATACAGTAAACTCTCTGTTATCCGGAATTCAACTAACCAGAAAAAAAAAATCCCCCTGTGTACTCACTGTTCTGCTGATCTGCGGCATGTATTATCCTGGGAACGATTGTGTGCCTATTTGTCCTAATTTGCTTTTGATTACTGCGTTTCAATATTAATATGAAGTCACTAAAGAGTTAATGTTATGATACGGTATAGTATGGGGGTATGGCATTAGTTAGACCTTTTTTTAACCACTTCCGGGCCGCAATACGTCTGTAGACGGCGGCCCGCAGAAGTGGTTAAAGGAGAACTATGGGGTCAGGGCTTTTCCCCATAGTTCTCCTAAGGGTCACGGGAGGACACAAACTAGCGTTTTTCCGTGACCCAAAGCTCAGTATACCGCAAGCTACAGCTCACGGTATACTGAGACGGCCGCAGCCGTGACAGATCCCGACATTACTGTCTGGATCCACCCAGCCGCGGGATTGACACCTGGCTTTGCCTATCCAGAGGCAGCTGTACCCGCCCCCTCCCTCGTCCATTTCGCCAGTCAGCGCTGGAGGATCGGACAGCGAGGGGGGAATCCCTGCAGGGAGCCGTGACAGTCACGGCTTTCTGCAGGGATAGATCGAGAAGTGAGCGAGCGACGGTATGTGTTTGCTCACTTCCCGATCTACTGAGCCGACCTGTGACAGATTATGAGGCTGAGTGAAAATCACTCGCCTCATAATTCTCCTTCAAAACAAGAACACGGCTACTGCCGTGTCCTTTCTACCGTGCAGCACCGTTTTTTTCGTGTAAAAACAACTGTTTGCATGAAAAACAGTTGTGGTGCACTTGTGGTGGCATTCATTGTTAATGGCAAGACCTGTGCTTTTTGTGCACACTCCAAAAAGCGCATGAGCGTGTAGGGCAGCCTATTGGGATGAATGGGCTGCCCTATCTTCAATAAACGTACAATTACATATATAAACGCAGAGTTGGTGGGTTCTTGTAGACTACTATGGGGTCGTTCACTAAGGCTGGAAGGTTTTTGCTGTGCGTTGTCAACCCTGCAGTAGTACACAGCTGTCAAACTCTGGAAAGCATGCACCTAGAACAGGAGAGGGGGCGAACTTGGAGGAATCATTCAGACCATGGTGTCCTGGTGCGTTAATGTTTTTTTCACCAGGTAATGTGTTGAGACTTCCCACTGAAATTAATGGGCTACCAAAACGTCCATAAAACAGACAAGCATCATTTTTGTCAATGCAGCGCACCACCACGCATGGTAGTCCATTATCCTGCATTGTGGTTTTCTGTAACGCATGTATGTTACAGCTGCCTGGGCTTAGTGTGTTGAGGTGCCACTAAAAATCAATGGCAATGTGCTAGCATATGTAATGTGCATTACTATACAACTCAGTAACAATGTGTTACCACAAGGCATCTGACCTGTTTCTGCCCTCGGGGTTCGTTCACACCAGCCCCAGTGCGTTCCGTCACGCTTCGGTGCCGGTGTTCTATCGAAAGCTCCAACTCCTCGAGATCTCCAACTGCCTGACTTCCGGTTTCAGCAAGCAGCGGCCATATTGAGCGGGGCAACTCAGATGAATAACGTGCTGGATTAGTCTGACCCTAGTTCATTTCAATACTTTATTGCTGTGTAGTATGTGTATACGGAAATGTCGTGGGTGGCGCATGTGCAGTAGAGCCTTCTCGGCCAAACCTCTTAGTTCTAACTAAACCGGAAGTCTGGCAGTTGGAGATCTCGAGGTGTTGGAGCTTTCGACAGAACACTGGAACGCTTCATGGCCAGCTCACTGCATTCTGGGGTGGGAGGGGGCATGGTGGTGCATTGAAGTCAATGGCACCACAGCCACGCCCCTCCGGCAGCAGTGCAATCACCCACACTGGAACGCGTGGCACATCAATGCCTGTGCTCCGGTCCGAAAAATTGCTGCATGAACTATTTTTTCTGCCCGCACTGGACCGGAACGCAGGTATTGACTTCAATGCACCGCCATGCCGCCTCCCACCCCAGAACACAGTGAGCCGGCTGGGAAGTGATCCAGTGCGCTCTGGCAACGAATGGGGCCGGAAAGCACTGGGTCTGGTGTGAACTAGCCATAAGTTGGGAGGGCTAGGCAGGAAGGGTATTTATTATTTTTGGAGCCACTAAACATTGCAACTGTGATGAGCCGATTGCAGACGCAATGCTCTGGCTACTGCAGACTCTTCCAGCCGTCCATATCTGTACCTCGGTCCGGACATTCAGTACCATGGGCGATAGCAGTATTGAATGGACTACAAGTGTGGTGACGTTCCTGCATTTGTATTCCATCAAAAGTCTCTCTGCCACAGTGCCTGCTGGGACTTGTAGTTTCTCCATTCACAGATTCTATCAAAAGGGCTAAGGCCTCCTTCACACCACAGTGCATTCTGGCCCGAACGCACTGCATTGCGGCTGGCTCACTATGTTGTGGGGCAGCAAGGCACATTATGCCTGCGGTCCGGTCCTAACAAAATGCTGTAAGCACTATTTTGTTCGGACCGGACTGCAGGCACTGTAGCCACGCCTTCTGGCCACACAGGAACGCAAGGCACAAAATGCCTGTGGCCTGGTCCGAACAAAATAGTGCTTACTTTCCCATGCAGCCAATCTCATTACGGCCAGCCACGCCCCCTCCTGCCCCACAACATAGTGAGCCAGCCGCAATGCGATGTAGTGCGTTCTGGCCTGAATAGTGTGACTGACTGAGGCCTAACACTGATCACTAAGCCACTGTGGTGCCCAATGTGACCGTGCTTCATGTTACACCCTAACATAAACTTAGCCTTTAAAGGCCTGTTTACACCATAGCGTTGCTGTAACTGCATGCTTCCGTGTGATTAACACACACTAATGTGCAACGCGCTTGCCATGCGTTACAGTGCAAGAGATGCAGTGTGTTGCCATTCATTTGGCTGCAATGCCCTTGACTGCACCACATGGTACCGCAATACTATGCAGTCCATTTTTAGCCGCAAGGCACGGTATTGCACAATAACATGCACTGCAATGCATTTTCTTTAATTGTAATGGAAAACACAAAACTGGCGCCATGTTAGCAAAGCACCTATAAAATTCTGTTAGCCTGTATATGACGTGCAGTCCTGTCTTGCTCCCCTCAATGGATATCTCTATGGTTTATATTCAGTGGTGTAGCGTGGGCACTTATGGAGGGAGCCGTGTACAGGGATTTGGGGCGAGAGACGCGCACTGGGAAGCCATTGCACATACAGTACACACACATGGACGGAATACAACACCAAACTCAATGCAGCACAAATAAAATACGCAAACATACCAATGAGGCCGCACAGAGGGCGGAAACATCATTAGGCCCCCAGAAGCGCAAAGCATGCCGGGGGGTGTAGTTCATTCTCATACAAAGACAGCTATGTGCCAGCGCCAGGCTAATTTAATAGCCTTAGTTTAAAAAAAATAAAGAAGCCGATAGATAGCTACATAGAATTATAACTCCGACAGTCACATTTTTCTTTCCAGCCTCATCCAGAAGGAAATGGCTGCGATATAAGCTGTGTCATCTAGATCAGGCATAGGTAAGGGCAGCCTGCACGGGGTCCTGGCAGCGGCTGTGTGTCACGGTGGTTTCTGGGAGTCGGTCTTTCCGCAGTCGGCCCTGGGACAGGCAAGATGGGTGAGTGAGACTGTGTGGAGAATGGCTGGTTCTGGGACAGGGCAGAGCGGCCAACAAAGCAGGACGGAGCTCGCCAACCTCCCTTCCCGCCGGCAGAGGCAGCTCGGCGCTTCTCCAGCTGGGATTTGTGCGGACGGCGGCGTGAGAATCAAACACGAGGCGGCCGTGTGGAGGGACATGGCGCCATGACAGGCCCGGCCTTTCCTTACATCTTCCCTCTGGTCCATTGTAGCCGCTCCGGGGTATTGTCCTGTGCGAGTTTAACACATTGGAATCCGGAGTATGTGTAGTACATGGCGGCTGTGTGTGGTGGCACCGATCGCTGGCGGCTGTGTGTGGTGGCACCGATCGCTGGCGGCTGTGTGCGGTGCGGCGCCGATCACTGGCGGCCCTATTTTCTACTGTATGCACAGTCTGGTATCCTATCATTGCTTTTGTTCTGAGGTTACCATTATAGGCGGAAAAGCAATGCTGCTCCAATTGTTTCCAACATGGCGTGTTGTCATTGGGTTTATAATACTCAGCTGCCCTGAGTTAGGATCACCATACATGTTACAATCCAACCATACAATCGTTGCACAGTCAATGTTGCATCTACCAAAACCATGTAATATGAGGACCTACCTAATCTAACCAGTTGCTCTGTATCCAGCCAGGCCCTTGTACTACATAGTTGTTGGTAGATTTAAAGTGAAACTAAATCTTAAATACAGTTAAGTACCTTAACTATTAACAATGTATCTTATTTGTGTATCATTCGGCTGTAGACCTTCAATTTATCTCAATTGGTGCTGACATTGTCCTTCCTTTTTTGAGGGTTACTACTCTTGTTCCCCATGGTCCCTGTGTGTGTTGTAAAGTAGTCACCGCTCCAAGCTTGCTCCTGTGATGGACTACAATCTCAATACAAATTAGTAAACTAAACATGACATTGTAATCCTTCACAGGAGCGAGCTTGGAGCAGTGACTACTTTACAACACAGACCATGGGGAACAAAAAGTAGTCACCCTCCAGAAGGGCAGTGTCGCCACCAATTCAAAGATGATTTGAGGGTCTACAGCTGAGTGATGAACAAATAAGATCCATTTCTGTTAATAGTCAAGATACTTGAATGCATTTTTATGATCCAATTCCTGAGATTGTACAATTTGAGTCTAATGTGTATTGTGACCCTTCATAGTTTTCATTTTGGCTGGTCTAGAGCTTACTACTTAAAGTTGATCTGCACTTGTTCAAATGTATTCTCCCCTCCACTAAGTATAGGTTCCACCCCCCACCTTCTGCTTTCCATTCGCATTAATTGATTCTTGTTTAGGTGAGAGAGACTTCTCTAGTGATGGGCATGTCACACATCTGGGGGCTTCAGCTGTGGCATAGACAGCAATGGGGCAGAGTGGACCTGGTGCACATCATCAGGGAGCCGGCTGCCTGAACCAAGAAGAGACAACTGGCTCCCAAAGATGGTGGGGTGGCACCCGGTGTGCAGAGGTGGATCACAGCACACAGAGAGCACTAGACATGCCGGGTATGTGAACTGAGGATAATCCAGCAAACCAGGTAAGAGGGGGTGGAAAAAAAACTTGTTACAAGGGGCAAAGTTTCTCTTTAATTTGACCCCTCTTAGTTTTTGTTTTCTTCCCCCCTCTTACCTTTTTTGCTTGCTTATTCCTATTAAACATAGTTGCACACCCAGAGAATGCGGCACTGTGTGTTGCATCTGCGGCTGTATACCAGGTCCCACGCCACCATCTTTCTACCTTGCATTATTGGGTAGTGGCTGTCTCTTCCAAATTCTTGCAGCCAGCCCTCTGATCACACATGTGGCGCTGGTCAGCCGGGGGGGTGTCCTAAAGTGCGCTCATTTTCTGTAGGTTGTCCCGAAGCTTCCTGGGATGTGTGATGTGAATATCCCAGGGAGCTGCGAGCAGAAAGGTGGAAGGAACGGTTCGGGGAAACATTCACAGTATTTACAAAAGACAAAATGTGATTCTAACATAAGGGGTTAAAAAGTAATGTGGGGAAACGTAGAGAATGAGGGTGAAGGTCCGCTTTAAAGTAAATCTAAATCCAAAATGTTTGTAGTTTAGTATAGGCAGCCTTTTGTTTAACCTCCTTGTTGCTGCCTCTATGAGGGGTTTTCAAAGTTGGGAGGTCCTATTAACTATTTTTTTCACAATACAGGCAAGTGCCGTGGTCTTCGTACAGCAAGAAAGCTCCGTAACCACCGACGTGAGCAGAAATGGCACGACAAGCAGTACAAGAAGGCCAACTTGGGGACTGCTCTGAAGGCTAACCCTTTTGGAGGTGCTTCCCATGCTAAAGGAATCGTCCTGGAAAAAGTGTAAGTTTATTTTACCCTTCTAAAGAATTAAAATGGTTAGGCCTTGTTCACATGGGTGGTTTTACCACCCCGGCCTCCCGCTACAATGGTAGCACTGCGGCCGCACAGTGCTCTATGCTTTGTGGCACAGAAGAAAATATCACTTCTTGAACTCTGGGCACCTGCTGCTCCACCACAGACACATAGCCAAAGAAAAGCGGACAGGAGTTTTTACCTTTCCCTACTCCAACGAATAACATTTGACATAAAATGTCCTTTAAGCACAATTGCTGTTTCCTGGATATTCACATTTCAGATGTCACTTTGATGCCATTGATCTGATTTACCCAAGTCAATCCTATTTATCTTGCTATACTTCATTTCTTTTTTCTTGCAGTGGTGTTGAGGCTAAGCAGCCAAACTCTGCCATCAGGAAATGCGTCAGAGTGCAATTGATCAAGAACGGCAAGAAAATTACAGCTTTCGTACCAAATGACGGTTGTCTGAACTTCATTGAGGTGAATCTCCACTAAATTAATCTTACCAAAACATTTTTATATTAGTTGTGCAATTTTCATGCAAAAAATGTTTGTATTTACTTGTGTGACTGTGCAACCAAATGACTACTACCTATTTTCTAAGTTTGTGCCGCATCTACCAGCACTTGTTTTGTGAGGTAATTTAACTGCTTCCTGGTCGTTTAATTACAACGGCAGCTTCTTGAACGTGAGTGGGCAGTTTCAGACGTCCTCGCCTGTCCCGATTGCGCGCCTTGCTGGGTGGTGCGCATGAGCGGGAAAACTGTTTAAATTGTAAACAGCCAGCAATGGCTATTTACATATAAGTGGTCCAGCGGCTATAGAGCTGGGCCTGGGAATTGTACGGCGGCTCTGTCACTGACAATCGGAGGGAGATCATTAGTCTTCCCCTGATCTCTCCTCCGTTCTATGGATGCAGGAAGTGATGTATATTATATCACTTCCACATTCAGCTGTCATTTTACACCTTCTATAGCTGATCTCTGCTTTATCAGCTTCTTGGGGCCCCCTTAGGTGTCTTAAAGACCCTTAATGTCCTCATAAGAAAGACCGGTCTGTGTAAATTGGCTATCCCCTAGAGGGCTTCTTAGACCCCTATGTCATAGCTATAAAGGTAAGTGGAAAAAAAAAGTCCCCTTTCTCTCCCCTACAAACCTGCATCGGGCGCACCTACGTGTGAAACACATTGCGCCCATTGTGCCACGCATGTTACATAGTACTGTGAATGTCGGAGTGAGAGCAATAATTTTAGGGTCATTAATTACTGATAACACTAAACTGATGAGCAGTAAAAGCTTTTAAAGCGTCGCCTATGGCCAAATTTTGGGTATTGTTTTTTTTTTTTTTTTCTTTGCGGGCGCACACCTTTAAAGCTTGTCGTATTTGGTTCCTATTTACCCGACGTGACCCCGTCTTTTATATTTTACCAAAAAATGTGGGTAAGAATAAATGTTTAACATAATGTGGCGAAAACCAGTTTGTTTTTTTAAAAATTTTCGCTACTTTTAAAAAAAAATTATACGGTGGTACCTCGGTTCACAAACTTAATTTGTTCCGTGATTCTGGTCGCGAACCGATTTGCTCGTGAACTGAATCAAACTGATCACACCGTGATCTCGACTAGAGGAAGCTATGACCATGTGTCGGAGCAGGGGAAATGGCTGTGGTTGCGTTGGTCAGCTGAAGCGGAATTTGCGAATGGCGGCAAAACAGAAGCGTTCGTGAGCTGAGCTACCACTGTATAGTTAAAAAAAATAAAAACCCGCAGTGGTGAGTAAATACCACTACAAGAAAGCTCCATCTGTCCCAAAAAAAGGTATACAATTTCAGTACATCGTTGCGTGCCGGAATAAATGTCCAAGTACCGCTGCGCTGAATACTGAAAAAAGGCCGGGACTGGAAGGGGTGTAAACGCCTCGATCTTCAAATGTTTAAACTCGCACTTCAGGGAGAATGATGCAGTGTGCATATGTTCATGCTGCTGAAAGAGGCATGGCTACCTAGAGCCTGAGCCTACTTGCTATATAAACTGCTTAGTACTAAATTCGAAGTTAAAAATGCACAAAAAAAACATTTTTTTAACCCTGAAACACTTCCGTTATGCATGTCATATTTTTTTTTTAAAATACAGAATATAGACAGAGCTGACGCTGTCTCAGCCTACCCAACCTCTTGACACTATTCAACTCGGCTGGAGCGGTAAAATGTGTTCGTGGCTGTTAATATTGTGCTGCCTGAACCATACTCTCTGCCTTTTCCTTTCACATCAGCTGCAAGGGCAGCAACCCATTACAGGCTTTAGCTTAGGTAAAGGTGCTATATACCAATTTCTGGTTAGTTTACCAAATGGTAGTAAGACATCGGACATTTGTTTTTTTTCTTCTTGTAAAAGCCACTTCATTGTCATCTTGCTTGCCATTCATTATTTTGCATTGTAGCAATCTACCTGTGGATACTTCCATACATGAAGTGCGTTGTATTTGTTGAGAGACAAATAGAATTGCATTAAGAGAAGTGCTTCCATTCAGTTGAGGCAGAGCCTGCATATGAAATGGGCAATCATAGAAAACTACCTACTCTTCCCTACTACAAATAGTACATTGTGGTCTTGGTGGCTGCAGAGGTAGCGAAAAACGTACATGAAGCTGAACAGCCTCCAAATACTCTTTTTCATATAGGTCACAAGACTCTCCGGGTTGGTGATGTAGCGTGAGGGGGAGGGGGTTGGGTGGCACACACTGAGAAGGATGCTCGGCAGCTTCTGCTGACATTTCATATCCTAGCTTTAGCTGCATAAAATAGGAAAGAGTTTGATCCTCTGTCAGGTCTTTATTGCTGTGGGTGTTCCTGCTAAGGAGCTTCGACTTCTGTCCTTGTGACCATTCCGTTGTCACTAGGTTGGGAATTGAGGGGTTATCATTAAGTGGGGACACTTGTTGCAGTGACAACTGTAATTTGGTTTGGCTTATTTTAGAGTGCCCCTCACTTTCTGTTGTGCCTCAAAGTGGAACTCCCGGATTTAGAGACTGTAACCTTTGCAATGGCACTACCCCAGCACTGCAAGGGTTAACTGCTTGTTTAGTCTAGAAGATGAACTCGTCTGATCCTTGGCCCTGCCTGGCTGCTAGACCGGTCCCCACAGCCTCTTCTAGAACCCAGGCTCTGGTGGTTTAAGGGCCTGTGATGTCATCACATCTAATACAGGTCTAATAGCCATGAAGATGCCATGGGACATACCACAGCTGGAGTGGAGGGGGAGAGGTGAGCACTGACTGCTGCAGGACAGAGAATTGGATTACAGACATTCCTCACTTACCGACTTACCTGTTTTGCAACCACTCGCACTTACGACGGACCGCCGCTCGACCTCCGACCTTGCGCGTCAGTGCGCCGTGTCGCCGGCGGAAGTGGTGTCCTCCGATCTTCACTGCGGGTTCCGGTAAGTATTTTAATTGCCCGATGTACAGTACACTGTTCGGTACTGTACATCGGCAACGCTATACAGTACTGTACTAATGCAGTTCAGTACTGTATAGCGTTCCTCACTTAACGACCAATCCGTTTAACGACCTGGTCGTAGGAACGGAACTCGGTCGTTAAGTGAGGAATACCTGTAGTATATTTTGCCCCTGGAGAAAATGAGCAGTTAACCCTTGTAGTGCTGGGGTAGCCCCACTGCAAGGGGTAACTTTTCAAAATCCTGGAATTTTTTAAGATGGGAAGTAAAGGAAATCTTCCCAGTACACAGGTGGCAACAAAGTCAGGGGTTTAAATCATTCCTTACACTCTAAAATGGATTTAGATGGGCTTTACATTGTTGAAATGCCAGGATGAAAGCCATTATGAATTTGGTTTCAGTCAGCAGAATTTTGGTTCTTTCCTGGAGCTATAAATGGTCCTGAGAATTGCAGCACGGATAATGAAGAGTATTTCCCATGAAACGCATTGTAGGGTCCCTGTGTGTGTATTTGTAAAATCCCAGCTCCTAATATATTGCAGCAATGGACCCAAGACATTCTGGGCGAAGGTTTGTACCTTCTGGAGATCTGTTACATTGCAAACCCTCAACCTATTCTTTCTCTTTAGGAAAACGATGAAGTGTTGGTTGCTGGATTTGGTCGTGCTGGTCATGCCGTTGGTGACATTCCTGGTGTGCGATTCAAGGTCGTCAAAGTAGCCAATGTTTCCCTGTTGGCTTTGTACAAAGGCAAGAAGGAGAGACCAAGATCATAAACATGTTCATCTACTTCAATGTTTAATAAACCTTGTTCACAAATCGTATTGTCTGCGAGTCTCTTCACCATTGTCACTACATAAAGGTCATGACTGTATTTAACAGTTTTACAGTACCAACCTTTAATGTGGATCCAAACACAAAAGTGGGGTTCTACTTTAATATAGGGAATATCTAGAAATGAATGTGCCTAAGCAGTGTCCTGAAAAATGTGCCTTTTGGGACTTGGATTGTTTGGAAGAATAAACAGTGCTCTTCCAGTACATTGGCGCTCCTATGCCTTGAGACTCACAGCCGCCATATATTTGCAGTGTGAGATCAAAGGCCATGCTTCACCTGACTGCTACTCATGAGATTTATATATGGAATGAATCTGCGCTAATTGAGAAAAGATATAATATATAAAGAAAATGTTAAACCTGGGTTTAGGGTTAAAAAGCTGCCAAACAAAGGTTACTGTTGGAACCTCATAGGATGTAGGGTAAGTGTACAGCGCTGATTAACCTCAGTGTAACCTGCAATTTTAAATCTATTTTTACTTGTGAAATACACACACGGATCACTGGAGGTTATCAAATTACTTGTCACAAAATGTCAACATAATTTGCTCAAAGGTGCATTTGAATAGACCATTAATGAGAAAAAACGGTGAACAATCACTTCAAAATATAGCAACAAAAAATGTGCCTTTTTAAATGAACAGTTGATGAGAAAAGCGAGTGAATAAATCACATCTATATAAGGCAACCAAAAAATAACTGAAATAAATGCCGCAGAAGCAGTGATCTACAATTGTTGCAAAGTGTACTTATAAGTAAATGAGTGTTCAAAAAACAAACGCTAATCAGACTAGCGACTAAATAATAACTTCTTTCAAGTGAAGCCAACAAGTTCATCAAACCAGTGATCAAAGGAATTATATATAAAAAAAACTTTTCTGTGAGATTGCAATCCACCTGTGTGAGGCTGTGCATTCACTCCAGCTGTCCTGCTAATGGTCTGGATCAGACTGGGATAGTAATGAGGATGATCAGGACAGATACTTACCATTACCAGGCCAGCTGGAGTGAATGGGGGGGAGAGTCCTAGAGGCATGGCTTTGCTTGCTTTTTCAGGCACATCTTCACAGTACAGGTTGTCATAGAGATTTCTCCATACATAAATATGGGGACATAAAAGGATATGTGTTTTACAGCCCAAGTGTGCAGACATCTTTTATAGATGTGTGCATTTAGGGGTCTATGTCTAAATCTGCAGCCATTTGCCCTGCAAATCTCTGAACGTTCCTTCTGCAAAAAGAAACTAGTTATTTTTTTAGGTCAAATGTAACATTTTCGACAATACTGCACGGCCCCTAGATTTCTGACTGGTTTAAACACTTCCCTACTCTAACCAAAACTAATGTTTCTAATCGATTGAGGGACCTTTGGGCACTGGGCTCTGCATTGTGGGTCTTTCCAGACCTTCATGTAAAGTTGGCTACAGAGCCCTCTCCAGGTCCAGAGTTGTAGCATAGCTCAGTGCTGACACTGCCTCTGAAGACTCGTTTTGTGAGTAGATTGTGCGGTGTGAGCATGTGCGGTGTGAGCATCAGGGGCTATCTGCTTCCTAGGACCACTGGGCATCCTTAAATTCCTCACTTTCTATAGGTCACGTCACAGAATGGGGTAATATGGATGTCATCCAGTGGTGGTGTAGTGCATGCAATTTGTTTTGCTCTTTCCTACCTTTGTGTCAATGAAGCATCTTCCTGCTGCTGCTCCAAATGGCAATAAGGCCCCATTCACACCTATGCGTATTGCAATATGCGCGTCTGTCGCGCGTTTTTTACCGCGACCGTCTCGCGATTCCAAAGGCTACTTGGCAGTATCCAAATGGAAAACGCCCTATAAAACGGACCAATACGCAGCAAAAACGCTCCGGGACCTTTTCATGTGTGGGCCGTTTTGTAGTGCGTTCGGGACGGGCGGAAATACGGACAGGTGGGAACGATACCATTGACTACAATGCTATTTATTTTTTTGACCGTTTTGTAGAGCGTTCATCGAGCGTAGGACGCGCTACAAAACGGTCAGGTGTGAATGGGGCCTAAATGTAAAACGTTCCTTGGTCTGTCCCTGCTTAAAGTGCATTTCCACCTTGTGTAAATAATTAGCATTTATTGTGCTAATGAAGAGGTGCAGTGGTGTACATTTTCATGACTCGCATTGCAGGCTTTCTTAATTTTTTTTTTTTTTTTTTAAATGAAGTTATTAGGCCTGAAGCCTAAAGTTGTTGAAATAACAAAGGTATACACACACATTGCTTGCACATAGGCAGCCATTTCCTAGATAATTGGGGAAAAAAGCTACCAAAAATGTTTGTGTTCATATACAGCGATTGCATATGCCTGCTTCATGCACACTTTGTGTACATTGCTGGCATATGATTTTTAAAAATACCTTTGCAAAGGTGGAAATGGGCTTTAAATGCCTACAGTAACTTGCTACACCTGCTACCAAGTTCATGAGTAGAGTATCTAAAGTGTAGCAATGCACCCTGAGCTTATTGTCTTCCACCTTGCATGTGTCTGATTATAGACGCATGGGGAACAGTCCTCTATCGGGTGTCCCCAGGTCACTGTTCCAGTGCTGCTTGCAGCATGCCCCCTGACGTGCCTGACCCCAACAGCCTGGAAGTTTGGTCTATGCCATCCTTGTAATTTTACTTTGCTCCACCAGGTGGGGCCACCCACCACCTCTGCTCTATCCATGGAGGATTTCACTGCGGTCATGCAGGACGTTATGGGTGAAATAGCACTAATGATTGCAGACCATAAGCCTTCCCCTGCAGGATCTCTTTCCCATCTGCCTGTGGCCTCAGCCGCTGAAACCCTGTCTGATGCTTTGTCTCTCAATTACCTTACACAGACACACACCTGAGGAGTCCCAGTCTTCTGCCATTACGCCAAGAAATTCTCTGAGATGGAGTCTAGCCTTTTTGCAGATGGGTATGCATCGGTATTTGGCCATCAAGGGTCAGGTCCCTGCACGAATGTTCTGAAGACCACTAATTGTATTAGAAGGCTGACTCTCGCTTTGCCATTCCTGATGGTCCTGAAAGGGGGAACCAACTTCTCGTTACACCATTTCTTGGTAGCTCAGACAGATAAGGTTCCACACTTTTCTGTCAAGGTACTCTATTAGATTTGTGAGCGCTTATGGGCTTTTCAGCCTCAAACAACTATTTCCCAAACTTGTCAGGCGGCCACTTAGGGGTCTATTCACAAGTAATCAAATTTTACTATGTGGCTGTTCAAGTCTCATCTGTTGTCAGGGTGTAAGGTACTGCAAGTGGACCTATGAGCTGCAGGCGGTCCACAGCTCTGTTATTTTTTTGGAATTGTTTGTTGTTGCCTACTCCTCAGTTGGACTGCTTTTGGGTGTCCCAACATTCTCCGAATTCCTGTGTTCCTCAATGGACAGGAAAGAAATTGGGATTTTTATACTTACTGTAAAATCCATTGCTTGGAGTCTATTAAGGGTCAAGTCCCACCCAGTCTGTATTTATGATTATGCTTTTGGTACTGCTTTACCACAAAAATGAGGCATGCTGGGAATAGGAGGGGTAATCCTGGGCTGGCCCACAAGTTTTTTTTTTTGTTTGCCCCTGTCCAATCCTCCTGTAGGCAGCAATATAACCCTACAGTCTAAATTCTTGTGAACCTTAATGGATTTTATGGTAATTACAAAGATCTTATTTTAGGCTTTTGCTATACTTCAGGCTGGCGCAGGGCAAAAATCTTTAATCTGTTACTGGTACAAGGATAAGATTCAATTAAAGGTGAAATCCAAACGGTTAAAAAAACAAATTTATAAAAAAAAGTATTAAATAATTTTTAAATGTAGCTTTTGTAAGTATAACTAGTTAATACAGTTAGCAAGTTATTTAACTTTAGTTAACTATTATCAGCCTCCTTTAATTACATGCGCAGCAGTCATCCTAGGAGAAGTAAGATTGGCACTGTAGACTTAGGGTGCCCATACACTGCTCGATTCTCGTACGAGAATCGCGGGAAATCCCGCGATCGTACGAGAATCGAGCAGTGTGAACAAAGACGTGCGACCGTTTCTACTGTACAGTCGCACGTCTTTTGTCTAAGGAGCACGCTAGAAAACTAGCCGAGAATCGTACGATTTTCGGCTGGTTTGAACGGTGCTCGGGAGACAAATGCCGAACGGGCCGGTGTGCGCATGCGCACACTGCCCATTCAGCATTGCGGTCATCGGAAGCCCGCCCCACGGGGGCGGGCTTGCGATGATCGAGAGTACGATCTGCCTGTCCAAGATGGGCAGATCGTACGTTTTTTTTAATCACTTTACAACTATCGCAAGACTAAGGTCTTGCGATGGTTGTACAGTGTATGGCCACCTTTAGTCGGGTTCTGCCGCAAGGTATATGTGCTGACAGTGAATATGACAGAAGAAGACGGATGATCTCATCTTGGTGCTGCTCTCCATTATCCAATCAGCATGTAGTGGCCGAGTTTGATTCATTGAATGTTTGTCGACCTCATTAGAATATACACAAATTGCAAACATCAATCTGTGCTCAATTGACTTCTATAGTGGGCACATTTTGTAAATCAACTATAGGCATTTTCAAGGCTAATAGGCAAGGGATTGACAAACAAGCAGGGGGCTGGGCAACATGTACCAATGTCCATAATTACAATTTTTGTGACTTCGAAAGGTGACATGGGGAAAACACCAAAACAGTACAATTCTTCCGGATAGCATCATATTCCGGCATAACACACCATGTGTAATACATTTTTTTTTACTTTGACATTTCTCCGTGACTTACAGAAGCAGCAACCCAATCTGATTTTTTCATGGAAAAAAAAAATCTTTATTTGGTAGTTTTTGCTGTGATACCTGATTTCTTATCTAGTAATACTAGGTCAGAATTGAGTGGTAGAAGTAGCAGACACAACAGATTTAAAATCTATCAGGTTTACACGTTGGGGAAAAAAAATTAAACTAAAGCCCTCAACTTCATACCAATTGGCAAAACATGTTTCATAGCATAGCCTGTTATCGTCTTATAAAGCAGTACCACACAGTATTGTCTACAAAGTTTAACAAAATGTCAACACAGAATGCACAAAAACACCTCAACCACAGATTCCAGAGATGCTGAAATTGTATTTAAGCTGAAATAAAAATGATGGTGCCATATGAGAGATGAGTAATTTTTTCTAAAGAATTCAAAATTAGAGTGTATAATTCTTAGAGACAGCAACCATAAATATTGTACAGAATCGTTGCACATTATATAATCAGGTTTACCTGTCCGCATTGTAAGAGGCAGTTTTTATTGAAAAATAAAAATTACAGTGCATTATAGCAGAAACAACAGCCAAAAATATTGCACATAAACGCTGCATATCATGTAAGCATTTGTAGTAGGTTGCAATAGAAAGGGGAAAGATCAGGCAGGTTTTATCATGAAATAAACATTTCTATGTATTTTTTCTCCACCAAATACCAGACGTATAGTATGGATTGCATGCCAGCCTTTTTACAGCCTTCTCCACAGTCGGGAGAGTGATTAGATATAGTTTGTTCAGGAAATTAAAATTACAGGGTTTTTTTTGAAAGCCAAAATAAGAAATATAGTGCAGATTCCATGTACATTATGTCAGCCCTTTTATTAGCCCCCAATGTAAGGGGACTAGGTAGATTTTATTGTGAAATACAATTCAGAGTGTATTTATTTATTAAACAATAGCTGGAAACATGGTATAGACTCTATAAAACAAATTGACACAATGCATGCATCTCTTAATGCCAAATATACAGAATGGGGGGAATTTATCAAAACTGGATCAGGCAGAATCAGGAAAAGTGCCCATAGTAAGCAATCCGTTTCTCTCTTCACTTTAAGTTAAGCTTTAAAAATGAAATATAGAATGTATTAAAACATGGTCCCCATGGATTGACCATCTTTGATCCTACCTTACTGCATCTTTGATCTGCTAACTTCCCCTCTTTGGTGGTGCTTCTCCCTCACATTCCTTTTCTTTCCTTTGTTCTCCTCTTTACTTTTTTGCATCATTCTCTTTTATTCCTTTGTGCTAAATATTCTTGTGTTTGTGTTGCTGTGCATTGCACTGTCTGTCTAGGCGGAGTTCTCCCTTGTAGGCTCCAATGAGAAGCCTTGTTGGAGGTTGAATACATTAATCTCTTCACTTGTTAACCCCTCATGGCGCTGTGAGACCTACCTGTTTGTTGTCTCTTCTTTTGTTTAAGGCAGGGGAGAGACTGAACGCTTAGATTTTCTATGCGCTTATCACTCTTTTGAGGAGCTGTAGAAAGTACCTTTGTTTTGTTTATGTTATTTATTGTACCATGCTTTTACTTTTGTGCAATGCCATCTGGTGGACATGTAATGCGAGTGTTTATTCCCTTGTTCTTTTACCCTGTTAAAACTGAATATATCTTTTGTGAAAGAAAATTAGAGAAGCTGATTGGCTGGGATGGGTAACTGCTCCAGATTCTGTCTGCTCCAGTCTTGGTGAATTCCCCATCATATTTGTTTAGATCAGAGTACAAGTTTCCTAAACCAAATGAAAGACTCTGGCACCCAGGGCTTACAATGAGCTAAAGAGCATCCAAAGAGAGATTTAAGAAACAAATAGAACAAATGGCCACAGTTATGAATTTTCCATAGGTCTATGCTTATTGGAGTTTGTCATAGGTCTGGTGCATTTAGGCTAGGTTCACACCTGCACTACACCGCATGACACCAGAGACGCGCGTCCCGGGATTGCTCGGTCATGTACAATGCAGGCAGCGATTGCCCCGCGGCCCCCATTGATTTGATACACAACGTGCGACCGTGTTCTGGAAACCGCGCGATCCGTCCGGGGCGACTAGGGTGCCATTAGCAAATAATGGCACCCACAGCGCAATCGGTTCACACCTTGGCAACTCCTAACTGCGCGGCAATCGTGAGGCGTCGTCTAGGTGTGGACCTAGCTGTGAAACAGTCCCCAGTCGCATTCCATCATGTATAATAGAGGGGATGGAGAAGCTGGTGAACCACAAGCAAATGAAACTGTATCTTTATACACAAAGGTTAACTTGAAACCCAAAGAGAACATGGGTGCACACTACCTGGTTAACTTGTTTTAGGGGTACCAGTTGATGAGGAAAGAGGAAAATAAATACACAAACATATCAACAATTTTTTAAACATTGTTTACATTCTAGGCTCCAGTGGTATCTAAAAATATCCCCTGGCAGGTCTCCACCAGTGCAGAATTCCAAAATAGGGAGCAAAATACCCCACTTGACTCCCTTTTCAAAGTTCTTTTGAGAAGATAGAGGGCTTCTAGCATTTCAATGGTTGCTAAAGAGCTCTGTAAAGGTGTAGCCCTAATATTCCCTGTGGCATCACTAACTTCAAATCCTTATTTGTTGTTACTTCACACATGGGCAATTCCATCATTGATGCTTGCTTTTATCTCCTATTTTCACAATTTAAACTTTGATTTCAGTATATTTTATAACACCTCTATTAACCTAAGGATGTTCAACGTACACTTTAATGTCATTATGCAGTTTTGCACATTTTCCAAAAAAACAGGTAAAGCTTTCAGAATGCCCCATCAAGTTGTTATATAAAAATTACAGACAACCCAGTATTTTAACTTCCAGAGTCTGCCCATAACCCAGCAAAGTTTACACTATGGGGCATTCCTGGTAGCTTTGATAAACTGAAGATGTACTGGCCTGGCCATACAGTATAAAAGACTACCAAGGTGCATTATAGTCAGGGTAGCAAATGTGCAACTTAACATAGAGCCACAAGGATTGCTGCATGATATAAACAAAGCCAGGCTACACCAGTGAGAAGACTGTGTCATCTGCATGTAAGGTTTGTACTTATACTTAAAGTGTCATTAAGCCCCCCTTTTTTGAAGCAATGTCTTTAAAACATTATTTATACCTGCTGCTAAAACATTTATTTTTTTCATTTAGTCATATTTACAAAATACCTGTTCGATCCTGCCATTTCCTCTGGCTTCCTTTTTGTCAGTGGCAACAGTATCACAGCCACTGTCATAGTATATGCCCCCCCTTTTCCCCACATAAACCTCTGTAGCGTTGCTCTTCCTCACTTGAAGCCACTTCCTGTGACTGTTTGTCATCCTAGGGGGTGGCTCCACCATATACAATGACAGCTCCTCCTCTCCTCTGCTTTGCATCCCACAGTGTCAGCTTACAGGTCAGCTCCAGCAGGGATGGCTTAAGGGCCTGTTCACATGCAAATTGGACGTTAATCATAAGTCAACGGGGGTCCGTTGACTTGCGTTTGTACCTTCCGATCCGCTGCACTCTGTTTTTCAACAGAAACTCAATGGCAGCGAAAAATGAATGGGTGTGAATGGGGCTAGTTCACACCGCTGCGTTGTGATATGTTGCACTGAAAATAAAGTAGTGCATGTTCTACTTTTTTTTAGTGCAACAAGATAGAGCAGTGTAAGTTGGTCCCATTCACACCCATTCATTTTTTGTGTTATCTTCCGTTGACATCCACTGAAAAGCGGATCACAACAGATTGCAATGGATCTGGTGTGAATGGGGCCTAACTGAGGCTTCTTCCCTGCTGGCCACTCCATGTGACACACACACACCAGGGCCTAAGGGGTGGGTGTTTGGTGTGGTGGCTGCAAGAGAGCCAATGGGTGTGTATATCTAACATACTTCCTGAAGACACGTGGGCTTACATACACTGCTAGATAGCAGCCTTTCTGCTGGCTCCTCCCACACTTCTTTCAGTGCGTTTAGGAAACAAATGAAAGTGTCACATGATCGCAATGTACAGCGACAATAATGCAGTTTTGATGGTGGTTATTTGCAAATATGCTATAGTGCACTGGATTTATTATTGAATAAAAAATAAAACCCGTAGTGGTGATTAAATACCACCAAAATAAAGCTCTATCTGTCCCCAAAAAATGGTATAAAATTCATTTCAGTACAGCGCTGCATGACGGAATAAACGTCAGTCAAAGTATCGCAGCGCTGAATACTGAAAAATGGCCTGGCCAGGAAGGGGATCTAAACACCTGGTCTTGAAGTGGTTAAGGAGATATATAGTTGTGTTCATTGGTTTAATGTAAAGTTACCATTTGAGGTACCCACAGGCACCAACAATCCTGCTGGATTGGATCAGGCACATTCAGACCTCTGCAGACATCCCCCCAGCTGATCAATCCTTGACAGGAGACAGCTTTCAGCCATATTGGATATCCTGGGCAACAGCTGTTTCTGGGCTAACAGCTGTTGATCTCCAAAGAAGGGAGGGCTGCGGTGTATTGACATACTGTACACTATCTGATGATGCAAGTATTCATGATTATACACTAATCAGTAAAAAAAATATAATTTAGCAGTCTGATAATGGAAGCACGCCATCATGCCTCTGTGGACAGCTTTACTCTACGAGTAGCAGCAAATGAGATAAGCCATAAACATTTTATGACCAATAATTATCCAGCAGTGAATTGTATTAAATTAATTTAATTCATGTTTAATCTGCAAATGTTTAAATAACATCTCCCAAAGAATATAACATAATGGATGTGTTTGCATGACCCATGCAGTCTACATTATAACATCTGTTGTACTTCATTTGGGTTCAATCCACTCTCTGTTAGAATTTTCAGCTTGGCCAAGTTTATATCACGGCTCTCTGTGTGCAGTTCTGTGCATAGGTATCCCCAGTACTCTATCAACATGCTGTAAGATAATAAACAGTACAGTATGGTGTACAGTGTAAGCTGATCTCCCAGGAGTTGGGTTCAGGCGTTGAAGGATGAGCAGTCTTTTCAGTGTACAACATGGATGGCAACCCTGGAACAAACAATGGGGTAATGTTAGGATATGTACAAAGTGTACAAGAACAATCAGAATGTAGCTGTATACTGTAAAGCCAATATAGGAAATACATATTGGATATTCCTTGTATTCTGAAATGGTAAACAATATCCAAAGGAATATCAATTCCATATGTTCTGGCAAAACAGCTCCCCAGGCTTTGCCAAGATAACTTCAGAGGAAAGCTTTGCAACTCCCAGCAAGAGAAACAAGACTAATTTAATCCATTCTGTTATGTTTACACTTTACTTAGAAAGTCTATCAATTAGGCTAACAGGGCTGAAAACTTTTTAAGGCTAAGGTAAGAGATCAATAAAGTCTATTGAAGAAAGATCAACAAATTATTTCCTGTAAAGAGAACATTGCAAATGTCAACACAAACACGTGAGAAGCAAACCAAAGAACGAAAACTGTAATTTGACAATAAAGAGCAAGGAAACTGCAACTCCAAGTGATATTTATTAGTACATTAGAGCTGACGATAAATAGTTAAATACACTTTTCATTTAAAGCACAATGTTTAACAGCTAAAGTGTATCTTCAGTCAGAATTGTGAAAAATCTGATCAATTTGACTGATTTTGAAATTTGAAAACTTTTTGAAGAATCTCACTATTACTTCTTTGGATGCAATGACACAGTCACTATGCCTCGGGCATACACACTGCCTTATCACCCATTTCACAGAGCCTGACATCTGAACCACAAAGGTGCTGAATGTTGGTTATGTGTTTAGATGAAGCACTGAGATCTTGAGGAATTCTGAATTAAGTTTTACTTGCTTATAAGGACATTATATGTGTGTATACAGCATTGTGCAGGAAACATAACAGATAAAACTTTCTGTATACCATAGATGAGTAAGCACTAGAGACTAACATTGCAGTATACTGCCATCTACATCTCAAAAGATAATATTACATCTCCTAATGTCATTAATACAAATCAGTGTATGCTGTTGTATTTCCAACACTGAAAAGGAGGAGATTCAGGAGGCACATCATCTGCTTGCTGGCAACAAGGTACCATGGGATATGTAGTTCTTATAAATCAAAAGTAAACCAAAAGGAATGAGCGGAGGAGAAGCCACAAAGCACGCAGGGAATCCAAGAAGATGTTGAAAGAGATGGCCAGCAGATAGGCATCACTCACAACATGAAAGGACATTTTGTAAGTAAGTTTTTTTTGGATCATCAAAAATAATTTGTATTGCTACTACAATGCTTATATTATAAAAGGAAAGTGCATGCTGTGACTTTAAATCTCCTTTAATCCTTCACCAACTGATATATCAGGGCTCATTCAGTGCAGATGCATTGTCACACATTTGGCTCCAAGAAAAGCAAAGATGGGCGTTAAAAATCCTTTATTTTCTCTAGCACCCCTTACAGCTAATGCAATTCTTTGATGGGTGTTAAATCCCGGATCATTCTGAGCAAGCATTGATATCTCCAGGTAGTGGTGGAGCTTGCTACTACCTATAACCTCTTACATTCCTATGGGCCCATCACTAGGATGGACTGCCTCACTGATCAAAAGGAATATGCAGGGGGCAGTAAAGGCCAGAGCTTTGAATATCAGATCAGCCCAGTATTTGGCCATAAGGGCAGGGTTTTGGAGGCTGCTGTAGATATGTGCAGACATCTCTAAATGCTTGCACTTTACACCTGTGACAGTCAGTAAATGTTCCCATGTATACAGGCCAGACTATAATGCTTCTGATAAACACATTTATTTATAGGGTGAAAAAAATATCTTATCGCCAACTAATTCTTTTTACTGTCTTTTTACACAATCTTCAGTGAATACTCCCATGCACATGGGGAGTTATGTCATCTTCTGTCGGTTAATCAAGACTGCTGAAGTCTTTGCCCCCTGGAAAAAGCCGGGGAGAATATGTGTGTGGGAGCGAGGGGAGGTGCATTAAGTTCTGCTTTAACATAAGGATAAGAATTTTTATTTTAGCAAAATATAAAGTCAAGCTTGTGTACAAACTAGGAAAAAGAAATGTCACCGCTCCAAGCTCTCATCTGCTTCCCCTGCCACCGGAACTCTAGGTACTAGCTAAAGAGCTCAACTATGCTCAGAGCTTAGGGGAGGACACAGGGAGTCTGGACATATCTCCCTCCCTGAAACGGCTCCTCCTAATGCGTTTCCCCTAGTACAGGCTTGATCACAGAGAACCAGTTCATGAAAAGGCAGATCTAGGTGGGGCTGTAACACCTTATATTGAACACTAAAGAATGGCCCTTGTAAAAAAAACTACATCTTAAAGTCATTCATTTTGAAGGTTGAAGCAAGGGAAAGTCTAGATCAATCCACAATTTCTCTTTACACAGATGTCTACAGTTCATACATTCATTTTAAGAGAGAATATTACAGAAGTATTAGAAACTACAAGTCAGCCTGGAGCACACAATTTCAATACAGCTATTTGTGAACCGTTTCCACGGAATCTAAACAATTTATAAACTTATATTAAATGTGATCACATGGGGGACTCTGCAATGATAGAAACTAGTGTTTGCACAGAAGCAGCAATCTGACAAGCCGATCTACAACCAGCTGCCAACATATACCTTGCAATGAAATACTGTATTTTGAGAGAAGGCAATTTTTGCAGACTGAATAATTCTGAAGTGGTGACTGGAACAGAAGCTCAGGCTTCATCTCAATGACCTCAGGCTCCTGTGGAGCACCTTGAGTTTTTTTCCTCTGTAAATTTCATTAAGTTAAATTTTGAGCTCTTCAAGTATGAGGCTGGAAATTTAATTATCACTGAGCCGCTCTTCTGATTTGCTGCCAATCATTTCTGGAGTTATAGGCCAGTAATCTGCAGCATCTCTTCTACTATTTCAAAGGGAGGTAAAGGAATGTGGCATGACTGTAACAAAGATGAATATAAAGTCAGGCTTATTTAATAAGCCACACAGCAAAATTCAAAGTGTATAGCAGCCATTCAAAATGAATTGATGTACATTAAACCAAAATCTGATTGGTTACTAAATTTATTACACACTGTACATCATCCCTGTCTTATTAAATAAACCTTTATCATTTTTTTTTAGATTGAAAACCTAGCTAACAATTCGGATAATATTCTATAAGTAATTTGCAAAAAACAAACAGAATGATATTTAAATAACCTTGACAAAAACCTGATAACATGGATAAGCTGAGAATAAAACATTCAGTGAGCATTCCATTCCATAATGATCAGGAGATCCAGAAACATAGACATCCCTTCCTGTCTATATATTGGTCTTTTAAAGTTGACCTCACATACAAATATTTATTTATTATAGGTATTTATATAGCGCCGACAATTTACACAGCACTTTACATAGTTGCACATTCACATCAAAAGCAAGCTCCACTTATCTTCTATCCCCTGCCCCCAGAATAAAAAACACTAAGTTAAAGCAACAAAGTAAAAGTAAACAATCTGGCTACTGGGTGCTTCCTGTATGCTCCAGTGATGTGAATGGGCCTTCTTCCAGAATTCTAGAAAAGCCAAGGATCCTAAATCCCAAGATATTGTGCTCCTGCCCTGTCAGTAGTGCATCCTGGTGGTATTTTGGATCATCAGCTTTCCCGGGATCACTGAAAAATTCAATGACGTCAGCCAATGCTAGATGGATGAGAACACCCTAAGCCTAAGTATTTTTAGTCATTTTACATTTTTTTGCTTAAACCAATGTTTTTTTTATTCAGGGGTGGGAATGGAGGTAGGGGGTACCAGATAAGCAGTCCACTTTAATGTGATGGGCATCTTGGCCTATTAACATGATTGTTTGGGAGATAGGAGGGTGTGCTGTCAAGCTGGAAACGTTTAGACCTGCAAATATCTTTAGCTGATTATATTATTGGATCTACTTATCAGTTTGAAATGTGGTGTACAGCAATGACAACCTCTATGCATTTTCTCATTGAATGGCCAACCAAGGTATATGATAGGGTTTGCTTTATCTAGAGATGATATAATGCGAGTTTGTCACCAGTCCAGATCACGAGTTTTAGTTCAGCATATTTAAGAATAGTGTTGCAACTGACATTTACTGGCCGCCACTGTTACTCCACACAGTCTTTGCAATTATCTATAAACTGCCAAACATTTATGTAATAATTATTGTTTAATAGTAAGCACTCTAAATATATTGCAAGCTAAAAAAGCGTGCATCTAACAAACAGTCACAATGTTAAATTTAAACATTTCTTTGGACCACAATCTAAAACGTTCTTTGGACCACAATCTAAAACGTTTACAGGGCTAGGAAATAGGGAATTTGTCTAAGACAAAGCAAAACTAGTTTATACCTGTCTAAACAAATTTTAAAAAAATTACATTTTACTTTACGTGCACAAAAGTTGTATTGGAATTTTTTTTTTTACCTTTACGCTGTTTTTCCATAACTTAATGGTAAAGATAATCCAACAACAGGTCCTACTGTACTTAACCATGTTGTAATATAATTTCCTTCTCTAAAAAATAGAAATGAGATATTGTCACTCAGTATATACAAAACACAGGCACCTTGCCTGATAACTAAACCATCCCCAACATAGAAGCAGATCTAGAAAGTTTGAAGAAACAACCAACCAGTAAGCACTGCAACTTACCAAGAAAAAAAAAGATGGTTCTTATTGGATTGGTTGGCATAAACATTCTTTTTCTGTGTTAAAAGTTACATGATTTCAATGAGAATACTCCAGCTAAAGGCATAAAAAACGTTTGCTTTGTGTGGATCATTGAATGGAGTTTATGACCGGCAGGAAACAGTTTTTTGGTAATATATTGGTTTCCCAACAATTATTGCCGTCAATTTTACTAGTTCAAGACATCAAAATCCTAAAATTATTAACAACACTTTCAGGAGAGCCGATGAATGAATCTATAATCAGTCTAGAGAGTAAAATAAAGCTTTTCAGGCATCATATTGGCCATGTCTGTCCTTGTGGCCTAGAAAACAAAGGACTGAAACAAAACCGCCTAAATCTCCTTACAGAAGGATACATTTCTTATTTTGTACGAATTACAGAATAACATTTTAAAACAAAACATATTTACTTGTCATTGCTACTATCAAAAATCCAGCTTAGATCACTAGCCCTTGTCAGTGCAAGATATGGTAAACATGGTTTCTACAACAAAAGAAACAAGAAAGAGTAATCCTCAGGGCTTGTTCACACCAAATCCAGACCAGATCTGGATGAGTTTCTGCATATGCAGTGCAGTGCGTTTTGACACGTTTTTGATGCGTTCCAGTCCAGTTTTTTTTTTAGACTAAAATAGGCTATCACGTGTGCGTTTCCAGAGCGTTTGCATGCATTTTGGTGCATTCCAGAGCAGAAAAAATAGTGCCTGCTTCAGTTTTTCCACATGCACTGGAACTGAACGCTGTGGTGTGAACTAGAGCCCCAAATACCATTGGAATACATTGGATGCATTTTTGATGCGTTCTTAAACTGCTCTGCTCTGCATCTGCTCCACGCTTGGTGTGTATGTATGTAAAGTATATGTAATAGAACAACTAGACACATTGCCATGAGGGCTAAACAGGAACTGAAAAGCCCCCCACCTAATTAGTGAGTTCCTTTATGCTGCTGTGGCCAATCTGTACATGCAGAACCACTGATTATATTACAGATACAGCCTAATATTACAAAGCAATTTAATTCAAACTGCATACAGCTGTTTAGAGGCTAAGTTCACTTTCCTAAGTAATTTGGGAAAATGGAATTATCTGCTCAAATATGGCCCCCTCTCCCGCATTATACTTACTTTTCCGCAAACCGTCCTTCCCCTCCGCCAGTACGAGTGTACTAGTAAGAAGCGCTTCTCATGAATCAGGTGACCGCTGTGACCAATGAGTGCTTGCAGTTTGCAAACAAATTTTCAAATCCGTAGCACAGGGCTGCGCTGGATGGCAGTAGGGGGGTACAGATAGTACACGTGTAACGGCGGGGGGGCAAGGACCGTTCACTGAAAGGTAAGTATACCATCCATTTAAAAAAAAAATGTTTAGCTTATTGTTTGCTGTCCATGTCCCACTGGAGGTTTTCTTTCACTTCCTGTCCCAAAAATGCAACAGGATTTTCTCTAGAAACACTGCTTAGTTGTAATGTACTGTTGAAATCCACCTATTCAAACAGACAAAGCAATATAGAACACACACACATATATATCTAGATATATATAGATATATCTAGATATATATTAGGGATGCACCGATACCGATACTAGTAAATGTGACCTGTCCCTTTAAGAAAAAGTATTGTTAATTGGTATCTGCGAGTACTTGATCAAAAGTATCGGTACTCGTACTCGGTCTTAAAAAAGTGGTATCCGTGCATCCCTAATATATATATAGATATATCTATATCTAGTGTAACAAGGACACTCCACTGTAGACCAGAGGTGCAAGTAAAATGCAGTTTATTTAGGGCAAACACAAATATACAATTCCATCCACAGGGTAGACCTCCCCTGTGCACAAGACGGTTTCTAGCCGCAACATAAATGACAGTCTTTTAGCTTCGCTCGGTAGCTTTCCACAGCTTCAAGACACTCACGCTGCTCACCCCTCGTGAGCCCTCACTCTGCTCTCTTAGCAGTCTGTACCACAGGTCCTAGGGTCACCGACCTTCCTGACCTCTCCCCTCGTGGACACTCACTCTGCTCTCCCAGCAGTGGGTCCAACAGGTCCCTTGGGTCACCGACCTTCCTGACCTCTCCCAGCCACCCCTGGCTGTTCCTTGTGCGTCCAGCACACACCCGAGTTTGTCTGTGTCCGTGTGCTCCCTGCACACACACAACTCCAACACTCCTCTGAGCACTGGGCTGGCTTCCTAATGAGGCTGCTCTCAGCCACCTGATCAGCCCAAGCTGGTCATTGGCAACACCTGGCCCCAGGACTGGAGATCTCATCCCACCCACAGTTCTACAAAATCTCCAGAGCTCCAGATCCCAGTTACAATTAGGAAAACCTGGACGAACCTGAAAAGCCAGGCTCTTCCTTTTAACATGTTTCACATTCTGGAACCTCCCAGCCCCTTTGGCTGAGAGTCCTGGGTGCCAATGTTGCCATGCTACGTCGCGGCATTGCCATGCACTGCCACACTAGGTATATCTAGATATATATATATATACTGTATATGTATATATATTGTATTTTTCTCCTGAAAAACAAATAGTTTTTGAGAATAAATAGCCTTTAATGCGCAAGGTTAAAATATTAGACGTCAAAGGGAACAAGTATTTGTACATTATTATTCACATTATAAACACACATTTATACGAGTTAAAATGCATTCAAAATTGGTCCTGTCTAGTTCTCACCTTTTTGAGGCTCCTTTAATGGAGGACATGAATTCATTGGTCCGACATGGGTGAAGCATAAAAAACGGCTGTCCAAGTATTGGATGTTCCTAAAGAAAATATGCTTGTTATTATTTTTATTATTTATGTATTAAGTTTAACTCAATTTATTGTTGTTGTTTCTAAGAAACAATGGACTTACATATTTACAGTATATGAACTTTGAATAGAGGAAGTACAAGGTAGAGGTATTCCCTATAACTACCAATCAGATCAGAAAAAATTAAAAAAGTGAATCCTAGAAAACCCAACACTGATATCACACTGATTGCAAGCTTTTCTTAACTACCCAAATCCTATAGTGACCTTTTGGGGCATAAGCAGATGTTTTTGTTTAGGCACTGATGTATATAACCTTGGTGGTAAGATCAGTGTGTTTCCTTTTGCAGTTTAACTGTAATTAGAATGGTTTGGTCAGGAATGGTGCTGGATCCGAGGGACTTGTTAGGTCCTAATTATGTTGAGAAATTGAGATTTTGGTGTGTCGATATAGCAGTTAGTTTGATTCTAAACCAGGGTTTCCCTCTACTCATTGAGGGCGTAAAAAAAAGTGTAGAAGAAAAGGAGCAACAAAAAGGATAAATCAATAAGGTAGTTAGGTACAAATGATCATCTGTTATTATAAGTTGCTAGCCAACACGTTTCAGGGTCAACAGCGTCTTACTTCTACAGGACTTGAATGATTGACTCGGCAGTGTAAATACAGCTGCAGCAGCAAACATCTGAGTGCATGTCTGCTTTTCTGTTATTAACTTATTGCTCGATTTCTTTTATTATAACTTATTTATTGTGACTGCAGTGTTTACAATAATCCATATTAAATTGCTGCCTTGCTATCTCATTAAATCCAGGCTTTAATAACAGAAATGCAGTCTTGCACTTTGACACTTGCAGTGCAGCTATCCTTAACACTGTCAAATCAATCACTCTTTTGTACATCGAAGCCCTAAAAATAGAGGATTCTGCTACCCCCTGAAATACACAGGCTGTCAGCCTATAACAACTCTACCCATGTTTTTGAAATGGCAACAAAGGCAGTTTTAGAAATGGAAATCTACAAACATACGTACTAGACATGTGCAGCGGCTAAACATTTGTTTCGTTTCGGATTTAGTTTATTTCGTTTTTTGGAATTCGGATCTTATATGTGTTTCGTTTTGGGAATCAGATTCGTATTCGGATCTGATTCGGGATTGGGACGAATTCCCAAAAATTCAACTTTAGGTGGCTGTAGCAGAATTGGCACATTTGTCATTTCTGGGTGCTGTACTCTAGTCTTTACTATTAAAGGGACATAAAAATCATTTTCTTAATTTGTTTTTATCCGTTTAAACGTTAACAGTGCACGCACAGGATTGGGACGAAATTCGCTCCAAATCCGAAATTTCGGATTCGGATGCTTTCGGATGATTTCGGATATGTTATATTTCGGAAATTCGGATGCTCCGAATCTACGAATTTCGGAAATTTTGTCCGAAATTCGATTTCTTAACGTAAAGAATCGCACATGTCTAATACTTATAGATAATTGCAGGCTTTGTATTCTTGGCATACCTTATTTTTCTCCCCAGTCTTCTCACAGTGGCCATTTTTTTTTACTGAGGGAAGATTACTAGATATCCCTTTACTTCCTGGAACTCTGGCACATGTGACTAGGACATGTGATCATGTACATCATCTCAGGGGAGGAAAATGCCTTTCCCTGAGATCTCATGAGATTACAGAGCAAGCATTCCTCAGCAATGCTCTGATATAACCTTCCCAGGATGCAACTCTTGGGCACAGGCTGCATCACCAATGCCCAAAAGGACCAGGAAGTGGAAAACCAGTATTTGTAAGTAAAATAAAGAGATGTTTGTTTAACTAGTGATTGTAATGTGATTTTTAGTGAAGGGGGGTAAAGGTCTGCTTTCTTTCTTCTACTCTCCATGCTAACTGTAATAGCAACAAATCACTCGCCAGGTTGCCAGCAGTGTTAGTGGTCTATTGAGACCATTTTATCTAAGATACTTCATTAAATATGCCCATGGTAGAAAAGGCATATGGAACGAATGGTTCACAGAGACTAAAACGCTGCACCAAATGTGGTGCTGACCCAGGTGACTATTGAATGTGCAGACTCCTACTAATATTTGTGTGCAGGAGACAAATACTTTTCTATAGCAGGACTTTTATTTTTAAACGTTTCAGTTGGAGTACAGGTTCACTTTGAATTAGTTCAGCTGGCATTCTTTAATTATTTTCAGTCAATTTACTTGCTATTAACTATTTTTCATTAATCTGTGATCAAAATATTATTCAGAATGTATGCGGTCTATAGACTTATCTTATCTAGCATGCTCATGGCTCAGAGGAAAGTCTAGTCATACACAGAAGACATGTTCAAGTGATGCAATTAGTTTTGGTCAAGTCAGGCAATGGATAAATGAATTCCTTAGCAATAATGAGCACGTCTAAATGTTAAAAGCGCTCGTTATGCACACAAAGAATTTCCAACATGATGAAAAATCTTCAGCAACGGTTATCTTTTCTCCACAGAAACAGAAAATAATGTCTTCTATATGTGTGTCACCTATAAAGTGGGCTAATTAAAATGACTTACATACTTATTGAAATATATGTTTGCATTAGCAAATATCATTTTTTAGTCAAACAAATTGCCCTTTTCTTGGCATAAATAAAAAATATGGAGCACTGTGCTTCCTCTGGATAAAAGGGACATGGTCTCTGGCTACCAGGAGCACTGTGGGTGTTTCTTGTCATTGGACACTACACAGTCTATTGTTATTAGTCAGATAAGACCTGTCTGTAAAGCTAGCCATACACTAGTAGAATTTAGTTTGAAAAGTTTCATTTTCTGAATATTTCTTAGATTTTCTAATGGTTAGTCGGGCATAGTCAATGTTTGTTTTCTACTGCAATGATGAGGAAAATCAAAGGAGCAGGATGGAAAGTTTTTCTTGATTCTTAACTATAAATGCGACTTTTGATGGAATGTTTAAGGGCTTTTAATCAAAATGAGTTGACTTAATAATGGCAAGATTCAATGTTCTGACGAATGATATTGAATAAACATTGGATCAAAATTCTAACAGTGTATGGCCAATTTAAGGCCCCATTCACACCAAATCCATTAGCATCAATTTATCAACAGATGTTAATGGATACCAAGGTAACCCAAAACATTTATGGATGTGAATGGAAAAAGTTCACACTGCTGCAATCCGTTGCATTCCATTGCAGTGCAACATGCAATAGTAAAGCAACATAACACAACTCATCAAAAATGGATGTCAACACAGCGGAACGGAAGTAAAAAAAATACATAAAAGGACATGTAATATAAGATTGGCAAAAAAATGCAATGGAAGTTAACTGAAGTCAACAGACCTGCATTGATGTACATTTTCAGTCCGATTTTGGTGTGAATGGGCCCTAAACTTGCAGCGAGATAACAAGATCTGCATGAAGCGCCGCGTGCATATATACATATGGCTGCCCCATATAGCTATATTATTTACTACAGGTATTTATATAGCGCCAACAATTTACACAGCACTTTTACTTATGTGAATGTCCACTCAGTCCCTGCCCTTAAGGAGCTTAAAATCTAAGGCCCTATCCCACATAAATACATACAGGGCCAATTTATACAGGAGCCAATTAACCTTCCATCATGTCTTTGGAGTGTGAGAGGAAACTGGAATACCTGAGGAACACCCACATAAGCACAGGGAGTCTTTCAAACTCTATACAATCTTTCTACAATACATTTTTTGGGAACGGTTAGAGGAACATGTTTGGTGTTGGAATACATTGTAACAACTGTGATAAAGTAATAATTTTATATACAGGTGCCTTATATTAATTTCCAAAATATTTGCCCGATATAGCCTAGTGTTTGCAACTGCCCTGTTGAGGTGAGTTCACAATTTTATATCCAAGTATTAAAGTATCCAGACCTCTGACATGTTTTAGCCTATCATCACATTGCAGGAGGGACTATAAGGGGGCGTGTCCCCCAAACCTGAAAACACTGGGTATTTCTCAGGTGGTCTGAAGGTGGATTGGGGATCATGTAAATCCATCCTGTAAAATGAACCTGTTACTTTGCCTGGTACAAAAAAGGGATGGGGGGACCCAGCAGGGAGTAATATCTGGCAGATTTGGCTTTGCTTCTGTAATACAGGAGATACATCTGCTTCACCTATTGAAGAACACTTTGTGAATTAAGTTATTCTTGCAAGCTAAAGATCTTCAGGGAATAGACAATGCATATTAATACCAACTGAGAACCCATTACCATATGATAAGTGTTATTGCTGCACCACTATCAGACCCAAGGATGGAAAGATAGTCAACAGTTAAAATGAAAAGTAAGATTAGTATCCAATCATGAAAGTAAAATATGTAAAGTGTGAAGATGTTTATCCTCTAGGATAGTCATCCGTTTCTCATCATTCAACCTCCAGCTGAGACTCTGACAGTATATTCCCTGTTGGTGTTAATCAAGTTTTTTGAACCATGAATTTGGCTGAGAAAGTCAATTAAGTTGAACGTTTTCACAGTTTGGATATCATAACAGGCATAACTACAGAACACTATCAACCTTTAATCCACACTTGGTAAATAAAGTATAGCTCCACCTTGCTGAGAAACATTTTATTGTTAGGCAGAGTGTTGAATGAATCAGTTTGGAAATCAAGCTTCCATTCCTATCTTGTTTTATCATTGCTGTAAAAGTGATTCATCTATCATTGCTTCCCGTGATTTTTTTTTGCATTTTGTCATTTGTTGCAACTGGGAGGCTGTAGAGACAGATGTCTAAAAAAAATCCTTATATAAATATAACATTCCTGGTGTCTATAATTTTATACCAACAAGTGAAACAAATGTCAAACACACCCATCCATTCATAACTAGCTTTTAACGTAAGGTGCACATGGAAGGGCTTTACCAGACAACATGGAAATTTCAAATATTTACCATCGAGAACAAATTCATAATAGATGATAATACTATTACAAGTTTATTGATGTGAACAGACTAA